TTAAATCTTAATGATGATTCATCACCCTAACATTACAGCTATTAAACACCTTGATTTTCGAAGTAATACAATTAATCTGCTGAATTAGGTTTACCAAGTGCATTTTTAATTGAATGTGAATTTCAAGCCAATTGTAGCCGATGTTTGTCGGTCCCTGCCTCAGGCACTATCACCACTTAGATAATGTTTCTCATCTCCCAAGCAACATGCCGGAGTGATACGGTTGGGAAGAAATAGCTCTCGTTCTGGTGACTGCCTCTCCTGTAATATTTCCCTTAACGTTGGCTCCACTCAGGCGGGTATTTTGTGGATCTGCCCGTATCCCTGTTCTCTGTCGCTTCCCCACACGTATGGGGGCCCCAGGTTTGATTTGGCACCCGAGGTGCGTATAAACTTGTGACTCTGTTTTCAGGAAGCGGAGGGGTTGGTGATTAAACTTTTTTACATGCATTTGAGCACGTACTGTAGTCAGCTGCCTGCTTTTATTTTTCGCAGGCGGTTGCTTTTCATTGGCATGCGTGTTGTGCCAAATACTACCTATTGCTGCTTGCAGAATGCTGCAGGATAGGTAAGAAAACAGCATTTTAGTATCACTGCCACTGATGCTTCCATAATGGGAGTTGTTAGCTGACATTAAGAGATAGGCAAGGTAAGGTGTGTCTGAGGGAAAAGAGGGGGAAAAAAATTAAAAATACAACGCAGATTGTTCAGTTGTGAATGTGACTTGTATTTGTTACCCAGGCTTTGAGAGGAGAAACCGAACTCGGTCATGCTTGCGTAAGACATTACTATAGTCATGTCCTTCTGATTTTCCTGGAATAGAAACCTCATTAAACTATATGAAATAATAAGAAAATCTTTCAAAGCGATCCTCCTGTTCCTCCTCATGCCACCCATATCAAAACACAAACATTTCTTTGCCCTTTTTTCCTCCCTCTTTTCTTTACTTTCTCTTCCTCAGTCTCTGACTGATGTCTCTCCTTTCTCCTTCGAAGACTCATTCTGAGCCTGTCTCAGCCCGGACCCGCAATCTCTGAGTTTAAAGCTGCATTTCTGGCACAGTAACATAAAATATCGACACCGGTTTGCTGTAGAGAAGAAGTACCTCCATCCTGGATCTTGCTTTTTGCCCCACACTCTGATTTTGCTCATGTTTTCAAGTGCTGCTTCACAATAAACCTGCCATGCCCCATGTCAGATACTCATCTCCTGCCATACCATAATGATACTCTTTTTACCAAGTCCAAAATACCTTTCAGGAAATTTGGCACTCAAATAGAAACGGTGCTTATGTCTGGCAAGATCTGACAGTCAAGTAGGGTTCTCGCTACGCTTCTGGCACTCGACCTGTCCAACAGAATATGCAAAATCATGATGAAGGATGTAACAAGATAACAACAATAATAATAATAATGAAAAAACCACGTAGTTTGGTTAAATGAAAACTCAGCTACTCTGCTGGATGATTTTTCTGCACTTGGACAAGGCATAAGGGCAACTCATTCACGGTTACTCTCAATTGAAGTTCAGAATCTCACATTTAGACACAAACCCTACTAATAAAGTATTTGGAAACAATTGGCCTCAGACCTGCAGAACAATGTATCTTTTTGGACTTGTAAAACAGGACTTTTAGGGCTGGTTTACAGTTTGTCTTTGCAGCCAGACTAGCTCGACTTGTTCCTGAAAGCATTTTTGGCCTCCTATCACAAACTGAATTGACATCATTTCCTGCAGAAACAGAGTAGGAATCAAAACCTCTTAGGAGGAAGCCAAGGCAATTCGGAAAAAAATAAAAACAAAAAAGAAACGAGCCAAACCAAAAAACCCCAAACAAATGCATCTTTAAGTCACGAGACCTTGCTTTTGGCATGCGATTGTACTTTTCAAAGCTTCTGAATGGCTGCACATTAAGAAAGGTTTGAGCTGTCCAGTTATTTAGACTTCCCTTACTCACCTGAACTGCTGACTTTGTCTGTCCTTTCTTGCATAATAACTACTTTTTGATTGCTTAAAAGTACAGAAGCTTGTCCGTCAGATTTGTTGTGTTCGGTCTTACCTAATTCTGTGTGTCTTGTATTGTTTTACCTTGTAGGGTCCACCTTGAAACGACTATGTCTAGGCAAAGATCACAGTAGTAGTAACTATCCCATTTTTGTTTCTCAGTATTTCCTTCATGGCATGGGATGTTTTTGGCTTTTTTTTTTTTTTTTTAAATAATTATTATTTTTTACTAAAAGCTAGTTGTTTAATAAATAGAGCTGATGCACTTATACCGATATGAAATTAGACTGTATAAATTGTGATTCTTTCATAACAATGCATGTGCTGTGATGGCTTGGGAACCACGCATGCTGCAAGACACTTGTGGTATTCTGTGTGTGTGAGACCGTGCACGCATGCGGCGAGAAAACTGGGTTCAGTGTCCGTCTCTCTGAAATACACACCTTTAGATGACTGCAGTTCTCTGCTGGAGGAATTGATAGCTAAAAAACATCTCGTTCCTGTTGAGCTGCATGAAATATTAAACGCTAATTGAAGAGCTTTCCTGGCAAAATACTTATTTTTCTCACTGGTCCCTTTCCCTCAAGCAAAGGAAAAGGAAATGAGCAGTATTCACTTAGAAGTTACTGTTGCAGGTTGAATGCATGATCATTTAAAGGTTATTAACGTATTTTGTATTACTGTAGGACTAATTAGTTTTCTCGGTTTCCTTGGCTGGTAACTGATTAACAGCAAAAAGAAGACTGAATGTTCATGTTTGCTTATATAGTAATTTTACTACAGTTCTATGAACTTTTTGCTTGGAGAGATGGTCTTTATTTCAAATCTTTTGCTATGTCAAATATGGTGGCTGAAAAGTTACTTTATATTATTCAAATTCAGGCACCTCCAGTTGCTGTTCCCTGCTGATCTTGCTGTGTCAGACTTGTAGTTACCAACACATAAAAAGGATGTTTTTTTTTTTTCCTTAGTTCTTCTAGAAATAAGCAAACGTATAAAATTAAATCTGTCGATACTCCTCCTGTCTGCTTTTAGCTATACCAAAAGTTCTGTATCTTTATCTTTGTCTCAAAACCTCACACACCCGCTAAGTCCTCCTCTCTCCTCTTTCTTCTGTACATTCATGGGGGTTTTTTCCCCCCCAAAAAATATGCAGATGGCAGAGTAAATGGTCCTGACATCACTGGGAGAGATTGTGGGTTCCTGGAGCCTTTGAGGCGTAGTAGCTAACCCTACTTGTAACCTCTGTGGCAATTTCGTTTTTCCAGGAGGACAGTAAACTTATGCAAGTAAAATAAATGGTAAATTCATTTTTTAAATGCGTGCCATTTTAGCCAGCCACACGTCCCGCCTCCCGCTCTCTCGTGGTAGTCTCCTCTGAAGAGACACTGTAAGCCGTAGGGTGTCGGCGCTGCTGGGACTGCATTCGTTTCTTCTCTCCCGGTCATTAACTTCACCTAGAGAGAAGTTGTGGGCGCAACAGCTGGTGGCTGAGGTAACGCGATGCGATAGAAAATACGAACGCATTGGAGTTGGACCATTTCTTTAAGCAAAGGTGTTCTGTAGAAAGGAGGGGGAGGGTAAAGGTCTGAAAAGCCGCTATCTGAATTGCAGTAGATGAGAAGCTGTTTGAGCAGCAAAGTGGTGAAGCAGAGATGCCATCGTCAGCTTTCTTTGTGTGTGATTTTCCAGGATCCTCGACAAACAGTCTCGTAACGTGTCCTGAGCCCCTCCCGCAATCGACCCTACAGGTTCAGGCCAACAACAGTAACAACAAGAAAGGGACATTCACAGACGATCTTCACAAGCTGGTTGACCAGTGGACAAGCAAAACTGTTGGAGCTGCACAGACAAAACCTTCTTTAAACCAACTGAAGCAGAACCAAAAAAGGCAAGACATGGAGCCAAAGGCTAATCCCATGCAAACACAGAATGAGACCTGTGGAGTAAGTGGCGCTCCTTGAAGGACGTACCTTTTGCTATGTGTCTGAAAGCCTTTGCAGAACTCAGATTTGGAGGAGGACATAGACTAAAAATACTTCAGATAGATGCTTCCTATAAATGTCCATCTCTTTTCATTAAGTACTAAACCAGATTGTGGGGGTTTTTTTTAAATTGTCTTTTGGAATAATCTTGAGGGATATATGGGCTGCAATATATATATATATAGAATATATATATTTTTAACTTGCAAACTGCTTATTAATAGCAATATACAGCAATACTCATACCGTTAACCATATGTTGCTCAACTTAAGTTCTAACTATTCCTAAAGATTTCTTCTTTTTGACGTTTAATATTAATCTTCCTTAGGCAGAACAGTGGCTGGGGGGGGGGGTGGGGGGGGGGGGGGGGTTGGGTTTTTGGG